GAGGGGCCTTTGGGGACAAGGATGGCGCCGGGACAGGAGGTGACACCGCTGGGGACAGGAGGGGACAGGAGGTGGCACCGCTGGGGACAGGGGGAGGCCGCAAAGGCAGGAACGGGAGAGACGCGGGAAATCGGGAATTGTCGGGGAATTGTCGGGAATTTATCCGGGAATTATTGGGAATTTATTCGGGAATTGTCGGGAATTTATCCGGGAATTTATTCGGGAATTGTTCGGGAAATCGGGAATTGTCGGGGGATTGATTCGGGAATTGTCGGGAATTTATCCGGGAATTATTGGGAATTTATCCGGGAATTGTCGGGAATTTATCCGGGAATTTATTCGGGAATTGTTCGGGAAATCGGGAATTGTCGGGGGATTTATTCGGGAATTGTCGGAAATTATTCGGGAATTGTCGGGAATTTATCCGGGAATTTATCCGGGAATTTATTCGGGAATTGTTCGGAAAATCGGGAATTATCGGGGGATTTATTCGGGAATTGTCGGGAATTTATCCGGGAATTGTCGGGGAATTTATTCGGGAATTGTCGGGAATTTATCCGGGAATTTATTCGGGAATTGTTCGGGAAATCGGGAATTATCGGGGGATTTATTCGGGAATTGTCGGGAATTTATCCGGGAATTGTCGGGGAATTTATTCGGGAATTATTGGGAATTTATTCGGGAATTATTGGGAATTTATTCGGGAATTGTCGGGGGATTTATCCGGGAATTATTGGGAATTTATTCGGGAACTGTTCGGGAAATCGGGAATTGTCGGGGAATTTATTCCTGACGTTTTTCGGGGATTACTCGGGAAATTCAGGAATTATTCGGGAATTTTTCGGGAGTTATTCGTGATTTTTTTTCGGGAATTTATCCGGGAATTTATTCGGGAATTAATTCGGGAATTACTCGGGAAATTCGGGAATTCTTTGGGAATTATTCGGGAATTACCCGGGAATTATTAGTGATTTTTTTCGGGAATTTTTTCGGGAATTATTCGGGAAATCGGGAATTGTCGGGGAATTTATTCCTGACATTTTTCGGGAATTCTTTGGGAATTATTCGTGATTTTTTTCGGGAATTTTTTCGGGAATTGTTTGGGAAATCGGGAATTTATTCGGGGATTCTTTGGGAATTACTCGGGAATTATTCAGGAGTTTATTCGGGAATTATTTGGGAATTATTTGGGAACAATTCGGGAATTATTCGGGAATTGTTCGGGAATGGGAACAACACAAGGGCGGGGCCGGGGAGGAACCGGAAATTCGGGAATTTGGGAATTCGGGAACAACGCAAAGGGCGGGGCCGGGAAATTCGGGGCCACGGAGCGACCTTGGAATGTCGGGGAGGGGCCCGGGAATTTGGGGAATTATCCGGGAATTATTCGGGATTTATTTGGGAATTTATCGGGAATTATTCGGGAATTATTTGGGAATTATTTGAGAGTTATTTGGGAATTCTTTGGGAATTATTCGGGAATTCTTTGGGAATTATTTGGGAATTTTTCGGGAATTATTTTGGGATTATTTGGGAATTTGGGGACAAGGACAGAGGGACAGGGTCCCCAAAATGGGGGGAGGGGTCCCCATGTGTGCCCGGGTGGATTTTGGGGTTCCCGAGTGAATTTTTGGGGTTCCCGAGTGGATTTTTGGGGTTCCCGAGTGAATTTTTGGGGATCCCGAGTGGATTTTTGGGGTTCCCGGGTGAATTTTTGGGGTTCCCGAGTGGATTTTTGGGGTCCCCGGGTGGATTTTTGGGGATCCCGGGTGAATTTTTGGGGTCCCCGGGTGGATTTTGGGGTTCCCGATTGGATTTTGGGGTCCCCGATTGGATTTTGGGGTTCCCGATTGGATTTTTGGGGTCCCCGGGTGGATTTCGGGGTTCCCGATTGGGTTTTTGGGGTCCCCGGGTGGATTTTTGGGGTTCCCGATTGGATTTTTGGGGTTCCCGAGTGAATTTTTGGGGTCCCCGGGTGGATTTTGGGGTCCCCTAAGGAAATTTCACACCCCAAAATTATCCCCAAAGCGGCCCCGCCCCTCCTCTCCCCGCCGGAAGTGACGTCACGCCGCAACAATGCACTGACCAATGAGGCGCCT